TTTGTAGTTTGTACGGCACCGAGTGCTCGCAGGAGGGCAGTGACCTCAATAAATGTGAACTGGAAGAAATTTGGTGCCACCCGACTTTTCCTAGATTTGGATTTCGCAGTGAAACTGAGTAACTGAGCAGGAAGGCCTTGTTCGGGGATGCGACCAAGAGCCCGATATTCATCTTAAGGCTTTAAGAACTCTCCTACAGAGGTGAGAGTACCTGAGCAGCACTCTATAAATCATGCTTTCATCTTGGAGCAGCTAAAGAGTAGCAGCTCTGAGTAAAAGGAGTATTTATCTGGTTTGCCAAGCAACATCTAAAGGACTCTCTGTGTTTAATGGGTTTTCTCTGATGTCATGTTGCAAAAACTGCCCTCTCTGGGCAGAATTTCAAACTCTGTATCTGTTAAATCCCAGCAACCTGTACCCTGCTGATGCAGTCCCTCCAGAGGAGAGCGGTGGTGGTATCTTCATGCTGTGAGGGGTAAATTTAGTGATAGCCGTGGCCACATGCAGAGAGGTTCTTAAAGAAATCTTTCTCCAGATGGTTCGCCTTTCGGCACTACGCTGATCTGAACTGAACAGTAAATGCAAAAGTTTCTGGTTTTCCATTAGTGATCTGAGCACCTCACAGAACATCTGAGAGAAAACCTGAAGACGCTTCTCATCCAATCTGATGGTGCATGCCAATATCAGACAGGAAGAATGAGTGGAGATAAGCTTGTGTAGATGTCATACACATCAGTCTGGATACTTTTAATGTGTCATTGTGGGCTGAGTAGACAATAAGTCTTCAGGTGGTCTGTGTAGGTGGACTTTGGCTGCTCAGAACAACACAAACACAAAAGGGAAGGTAATATAGAAACACACACATGCACGCGGGATCGTATACACACAGCATCGTTTTATCTCAGTTCTGTGGTTGAGCATCGTCACATGCTTTTGCCACTAGGTGACGAGACCTGAACTCGTAGTGGGTGTCAAATCTATAAATCTAAAATGTCAAACAGAAAAAACTCTCACGGTGATTTTTAGACGCCCTTTATATTAAGAAGCATTGTTTATAAGCTCAGAAAAAAATCTAACTTGACCCTTTACCATAAAGTGCTGAAAATTCTCAGGACAACAAGAAAAAATGTGCCCCATCAGCAGCTTCCTGAATTCTTAATGAGAGTTCTTAGAAGCTCCACTTGTTTTCTTAGATCTAATCTCACTCTTGTGTTGAAACTAGACACTTTACGTGCTCCCCTTTTCCACACTCAGGCAGGAGTGCTCCTGTTTCTTTGTGGGCCACGAAATGCCATTAGAGGCCTGACTAATCAGCTAATACAAATGACAAGCCCCATAAACAAAGGCTGAAGAGAACAAAGGAGCCAGTGTCGTAAGAAAGCGTGACAACATTACAGCTGAGATACCTGTTAGACATGATGTCATGTTACAGCTTCTGTCCAAACCCAGAGGCGGGCGGTGTTAACACTGATAAGGTGAAGGGATTTTTTTTCTTTGTTGACTGAAGTCAGTGTTAAAGATGTAATAAGGTGGATACTGTCATTTTCAAGTGAATATTAACTTGTTGAGCAGGTGTCATTGCTACACTCCCATAGTGAGTGTGTTCCTGAACAGTAGAGTCAGAGCCTGGGGAACGTCTGTGATATATGTGGATGATGACGCCATAACACTGCAGTGAAATGCTGTACATTCATTCATTATTTAGAGAATTATTATTTAGAAAAGACAGGAAAGCAGAGAGAGAGAGTTTGGGGTAACACACAGGAAATGGTCCAGAGTGGACTCAAACCCAGGTGCCTGCAGTGACCTTTGATCATCTGCTATAGCAGCGTCCAAACTCTGGTATTTTATTAGTCTTAGTCAACAGGCATATGCCACTTTATTTGGTACACCCGTCCACCCTGCTGTTGAACGGTTGAACTTTGCATTTAACCATGTAGTCATGTGAACCTGGTGAAGTTCAAACTGAGCACATTTAAGTGGTTTTGACCGTGGCACTTTTGTTAGTGTCAGACAGGCTGATCAGAGTGTTTCAGAAACTGCTGATCCACTGGGATTTTCCCACACCAACCATCTCCAGGGTTTACAGAATGGTCTGAAAGACAGAAAATATCCAGTGAGCCGCAGGTCTCAGAGTGAAAATGCTTTGTTGATGCCTGGGTTAGATGAGAATGGCCAAATTGCTTCGAGCTGAGAGGGAGGGAACAGTAACTAAAATAACCTCTTCTTAAACCAAAGTACGGACACGAGCATCTCTGAACACATAACACATGAGACTGTGAAGCAGGCGGGCTACAGCAGCAGAAGACCACACCGGGTGTCAGCCATCGACAGAAGATTAAGGCTACAAATGACCATAATTGGTGAATTCTACAACAAACGTTGTCCAATGAAGTTAAAGAAAAAAATGTTTCCTGGTTGAATTACTCTCAATTTCCACTGCAATATTCACATGTGAGGGTCGGAATTTGTCATAAAACCAGCTGGTGACATGACAGTGCCTACATTCTTCTTTTATGTGTAGTCTGTGGGGGTTGGAGTCCGCCTCCAATGACCATTAGAGCAAATGTAGCTCTCGGCACTTGTGTGATGGCTTTGTTTTTCATACCCAGAGGTTGCCACCTGATTGGTAACTGTTATTAAAAAAGCAAACTGATGTCATTTTTTTCTAGTTTTCCCACAGCCGAGTCTGTCCGGTGCTGCTTCGATTAAAATAGATGTGGCATTCATTGTACTTTATTTGTGTTGCATCAGGCCTGGTAGAACTGCAGGAGAGACTTTTTTAGAGCCAGTTCAATAACATCAATATTTACACCCTGCTTTTTATGAGGCTGCTATTCACTCTCTAATTTACAGCTCTGATTGGGCGGAAGTTAAAATGTCAACTTTTGCTGGAGTTTTTTCCCAAATGTCACTTTGATCCGGTGATGGGAACACAGAGACTCATTGTATTTCAAAATTCTCCAGCGTGTCTCATCCGTGGAGCTCAAGCTTGCCGACTTTGGCCTCGCAGTTTCAGAGAAGTTACCGACTACTATGTGTTTAAAGTTTCTTTCAAGCCTCATTGTTTAGGAGTTTATTAGTGTGTAGCTTGTGGACTGCAGAGAAGTGTCAGCATTACATCCTATATTTATGCCTGACCAGTTTTCTACAGAGACAAACAAAACAGGAGCGAGAAATGCTTAGTAGAAACCATGACAGGAAAGTAGTGTATGTCAACAGAGCTTCCATTATTTAATGAGCTTAAATGTATATGCACTCTCACAAAATGATGTATAATAGCTCGGTCGGGCTATTATTCCACAATGTACAAAAACAGACTTTCTTAAAAATAACAAACAGAGGAACTCTGGGCCTTTTTGCTTTGAGGCAACAGCGCTAACTGCTGTGTGTTTAATGATATGTATTTGATGATTTTCATTTAAAATTGAACTGAAATAAACAGTAAAACCTTGAAATCTCAGAATTAAATTAACATGTTATCTAATTACTTTTTATTTCATGATATTGCACTTTTAGGATCTAGGAGGAATATAACAAATATCTACCAATATACTTCTTTGGCCCTCAGAAGTCACGATTATTAACAACACATGTGTGTGGATGACCCGGAGGGTAATGTACTCCGGCCTCTGAGCTCTATTAAGTTTCAGTCCCAGTACATTAAGGGTGAAACTTACACATTCACGTATGACTAGCTTCATGATTTTTACATTCTAATTCTAAAAATGATATTAAGATGAGCTAAACTGCCTCAGGGGAAGCTGGTCAGAGGGTGCTGTGAACTCAAAGGTGTCTGAGGGTGTTGTAAAGGGGAAGCAGTGTAACGGTTGCACCAAATATGTGGCTTCCTGTGCTGTTGCTCAGCACACACACACAAGTAAATATCACAGCGGTTGAATACCTGTGAGTAGAACTAATGTCAGGCCCGAAAGATGAACAGCGCCGTGTTTTATGTTTTTTAATGTCACTTCTGAGGTTTCTCAGAATGCATTTGTGGTCTGTGTTAAGCATTTTTCATTGAATGAAATGTCATAGCAGGATGTGTACGATCATCCGAACAGACGATGCTGTGGTGTGCGAAGGCTTCATGCTGCCTTTGATTAGGTGGGAAGTGGCACCACCGTGTGGCCAGTCAGCAGTGCAACGTGCAAATAAAAAGTGCATCAGGTTGGTTTACAATAATCTTTATTAAACGTCTATATGCAGAATTCAACAACCAAAATAGAATACTCAATTACATAAATTACAGAAGCACATAACAGTGAAAAGGAACATAATTATTCCAATGACTTTCACAGTTTACATTCATGTCGGCCTAAAAATTCAAAAACAACTCAGAACCAGCTGGCATTTTTAAAACTCTGTTCAGGTTGGACTGATGCAGTATACGATTGTTTGACCTTTATTTACTATGAAGATGTGGCCTATCAAGAGTACGAGGTGCCAGTTAGTAAAGTCTATATTAAAACCTGCATAATGGAGATTTTTTTCTTTATTGTAGTGTTCCATGTTAGCCACAGAGTCTTTAATAATTGTAGACCATGATCAAATCCTTGCAGTATTTTTTTATATTGTGAGAGTTAAAGGGGACCCATTCCTTTTCCTTTTATATATATTTATATATAGTTTAAACATGTTAAACATTACCAGTGTTTTTAAAAAAATGAGGTCAGAATATGTATAATTATTCCGTATATTACATTCTATTGGGGGTCAGTGTGACGTGATATAAGGCAGTCATTCCTAATATGAGCATATCAGGGGTGACAGAGGGAATCTTCCTATCGCTGTACAAAAACTGTCTGCAGTTCAGATGGTGGTGCAGCAGAGGGCGCTCACAAACTACTTATTATTGGACAGAAGTGAATGGCGCTAAATGGCTAAAACAAATAATTTACAAAATAAAAAATAAACATTGTTTAAAAACGTGAGTCCAAGAATAAAAATATGCAGCTGGAGATGAGCAGAATATTTCCAATTTAAATATCTAGCTCAAAAATCCAGTTTGCTTTTATTCTAACTTGTTTATTTAGGGCCACAAGTAACATACCAGTCCAACCAGACCTCCAGTTCTATTGAAGCTTGATGACACCCCAGTAGGTATCGTCATTTAGAATTTCACCTGTTATGTTTATGTTGACACTGTCCAACGGTCTAAGTTTGACAATCTTGGCCAACCACACTGAGTTCTCTGATGAGGCCGGGTAGATGCCCTTAGCCAGTGTCTTAGTTTTCTTATCATGAAAGCCAGTTCTTTCCACAAGTACACATCTCTCCCGTGAATCTTCCCTGAAGGTCACCTGGGCGTAAAAGAAGTAGGTCCCGTTTTCCTGGACGATGATGGACGTTCCACACAGGGTAAGGGTTTTGTTTCGATTTTGTTTCGAAACAGGATCTGTAGGAAATATGGAGAACGTTTCTTTAATCACTCAGTTACTTTAAATTCATTTTTAATAATTGATTTTTAACCTTTTTTTCTTGTTGTTGTTTTGTGTAATCAACCCAAATGTTCACGTCAGGTGTGATTTGAGGCCACAGGGGAAGGGTGGATCAAGTGAGTTAACGTATACACCATTATCCTTCTCAGTATGTGGGGGGGAGGGTAAGGGGCTCCAGAAAAGTAAGAAAAATTCAGAAACTTTAGCACGTGATGTCCAGTTCAATGGATGCACCATTGCGCTTCATATCTGATATTTTTGATGGTAGCGCTGCAGCTGATGTTCAGCAGCATCGATAAATACTGCATCATTGTTAATTACTCTCTAATTTACATCTTTGATTAGGCAGACGGGAAAATGTCAACTTTTGCTGGAGTTTCTTCCAAATGTCTCTCGGATCCAGTGATGAGAACACAGAGACTGGTAGCTGTTGACTCAGACCTCACAGTGGAGTAGTTTCTCACTGTATGTGGGAAAGTTTTCTTTGAAGCTTTGAAGGTTAATTATAGCTTGTGGACTGCAGTGAAATATCTCAGATTAATATCTAATCTTCTGTGCTTGACCAGTTTTCCACAGAGGGAAACAAAACAGAAGACTGAGGCGAGCTGGGTTAACCTTTGTTGTCTAAATCAGTTCAGTACGTTTAAATGTGAAATATAGAATGATATCTGACAGTAAATCGGTATAAGCGTTATTACGGTAATTGAATGCTGGTTTTTCCACTTTACACACGTTTTCTTTGAGCGTACAGAAAAGAATCGGGTGAATACCCGAGTCAGGGATAATAATAACTATTAATAAATGAATATTTTAGCGCTCAACATTGACACGCTGAATGCCGGTGGGTGTGCAACCCATGCCTTATTAATCTGTCAACTGAAGTGAAGAAAACCACATGAAAGAGGAAATGGAGGAAACTCTCCAACCGACTTGTTTTTTTTAATGACTAACAAAAAGTGTCTTTTTTTCTTGAATTTCCTGAAAGGAAGTGCTTTTTCCTCTCTGCTTCAGATCAGTGGGCCCCATAATCACAGCTGAATAAATACACCAGGTAAACAAAGCTGATCTTCCAATTAGTGTCTAATTTTCCTGCAACATACCACCTGACGAACTTGTGAAATCTGCTGCTGTGGGCTGTAATTATACATTAAGTCGGTGCAGCCCACATTACAGAGCTGCTTCGGGTTTCTTGTGGTTTTAGAAACCCACTTCACACAGGAAAACTGCTGCATAGTGGGAGGAAAACAGTAAATGAGATTGGAAACATAATGAGGCTGCATGGCTCTGTGTTTCTCAACGGTTTAACCCGTGCAGAGGATTTCTTTGTGGATGTGGTGAACTTTTAAAACGTAGATGTAATAGTTATTCGTCAGCAGGATAAGTATGATAACTTTTATCTCTTCAACACAATAAACCTCATGGTTTTAATCTGTTCTACCGCTGGCATAAAAAATACCTTCTCCAAATGTAGCCAGTAACTTCTCCACAGCTATAAGACCAAAGTGAATTATAAAGGGAACCGTGGGACAGAAAATGAAATATAATATGTCTCTTTGTGCCGTTGCCAGACCACAATGGGATCTGAAAAAAAGTAACATCTTCACTTCTGCCTGTTGTCAAAACTATAAACTAAAGAGCACATTAACCTCACAACTAAACGTGTCACAATATACCTGTACTGATGACATCTCAAATGTCAAATAGATAATGTGAAATAATCAGTCCAACCTAGCATTTTGTAGATGGTCACACTGCATATTAATGCTATCTTGAAAAAGAAGAAGAAAACTGCTCACAAAATAATGTTGATGCAACTGACAAAGAGATTAAATAAAACGATCTCTTCAATGTGGAAGGTAAACCCCAACAAAAAGGGGTAACGTGTGAAGAAATAACCATGTTAATCCCAAGAGGGGTCTTTACCTAACCCATAATCTGTATATAAAAGATGGAAGTAGCCTCTGAGTTTGAAAAGTGAAGCCAATGCAAAAATACCTCAACCCAGCTTCACAGGGGCCACATCCATCTTTCATATACAGCGTGGCGTTGAGAAAACGAGGCGTCTTTAAAGTCGCATCTCTGTTCCAAGCTTTGCACAACTTTAGATCACAGCAGGATCCGAACATGACCAGATTCCCAATGCCGTTCCTGCGTTTGGCTTCTTTCCTCCTCACCCACACCGGAGCTGGTGTATTCTTGACTTAGTGGTTTTAATAACAGATATGGCCTGCTCTTGTCGTAAAGGGATTCCTATCAGACTGTTAATGTAGTAACACATGAAAACACTTTGGAGGGGAAATAAACTTGTACCTGCAGTGTATTAAAAAAGGAAATACTAATAAATCCATCCACTGTCAGACTGGTTAACTGAAACATGACGTCAGCTTTTATCACCCATCCACTTTAGATTAGAGATAAAACACAGAGAAACACAGCAGTATATCAGTTTCCTGTCTAAGTTCTAAGTATTTGAGAACATGTGCCTTCATATAGAATTTGTAGAAAGTTGTACCTTTTTTTCTTTTCTTTCACAGAGTCTAAACAGACTCAGTTAGTTAACCCCAGGTTGGTTGAAATATTCAAATTAGGTGTTATTTTGTTATTTACTTGTTTGTTCACACCCCTCCCCCTCAACCCGCCGTGTCCTCGTGCGCCTCATTTGAAGGCTGCCCACGTTTTTCAGAATGACTTTCAGCTGCTACTGACATGTCTGAGCTCGTTGCACTCAGCATCTGTAGGCGTCCAGTTTAACAGTAGTTTTTATGCATGGCAGGCATCATCGTGATACGAGATCAGTAACAAGTGAGAGTTGTCTCTTTGGATGTGTAGCAGAGTTAAGATTTGTCTGTGTGATCATTAAAAGTTGGTGTAAAAAGACATAGTAAGAACAAGGGATACGGTTTTCTCATGAAACTCATGATTGTCAGAGCATGCCAACTTCCCACATGAAAAGACGTGAGCTCACCTACAGACAGACGTCCATTATGGTGGGAAATCTGGATGAATGGGTGAGAGCTTCCTGAAATGCAAAATAATTTAAAGGATTATGACATTTTCAGTCTTACGATTATGTGATTGTCCATGATAAATGTGACAAATGATATTTACCTGACTTAAAAGGTTCCTGAGTCTGCCTTTGTATGCGACCTGAATGAGTTGAGTTGATGGTCTCTGGTGTAGGGACTCCAACCTTGAGGAAAAATCAAAACATGCTCAACAAGTGTGCCGTAAACCTCCTTTCTTTAAGAAGGTCACCATAGATATTTGTGGTTGCAAAAAGACTTCAATTTCTATAGAAATCTGTGAGCTGACCTCTATACACAAGTTACTCCTCAGTTTGTGAGCTCAATCTCTCATTTCAGTATGCTTGTTGGCTAACAACGTGTCAGTCATCCGCTGTTAAGCACTGAACAAGCGGCTTCACAGTGAGACCCAGCCTTCCTGGTCAAATCTGACTTATTTGTAACCAATATGGTGAAAAAAATCCTCCAGAGGTTTCAAAACTCAAGACTTCTGAATCTAATAGATGATGTCAGTGAAGCTATATTCATCTTTTGTACTGTTCCTGGCTGTTTGTCTTATATTGTTTTTCAAGTACTCACATTTCCCTTTAGCCTTTACCTTTTCCACTATTGTAAATAAGGATGTGCTCTTGCAGTACAAACTGGAATTAAAGGAAATTACAGCCTGCTTCGTTTTCAGTCAATATCCTGAAAATGTTTTGAACATGAAGTCATAGGAATTGTTTGTGTTTATGCACGATCAATACTCCACTTAAGGAAATCCCAGAAAAGTTTTTACAGAGTTCACAGAATTGGGGAATGACTAAAATCAAAGTATTATAGAAGGTGAAAGATGTACCCATGAGGAAGGATACATCTTTCACCGTCTTCAAATACTGTGATCGCAGTATCACAGTATCACACTCTGTATGTTGTTCTCATGGCCACGGATAGGTGGCCATGAGAACCTGCATTTTAATGGTAGTGGTTATTATGAAAATATACTGTTTAAAGGCTGGGGAAACCTGCAGTCAGCTGAGACTGAAGTCGCTTGGATGAGTGACGAAACATTTCTACCCCAACCCCGATAAGGATAAGCGTAAGAGAATGGATGGATGGATGCACATAGAGAAATTCTCAGTTTCAGTCTGCAACAGCTCCACTTCTCTAAAGGCTCTATTTTATAGTTGCCATGTTTAACAGACACTGGAGAGACTTTTCAAACACAATGAGTTTCTGTGTTCCCATGAGAGTGCTATCTGACAAAATCATCAAAGATGAAGGTTTTCACTTCCACCTAGAAACAAAGAGTGACTAATGGCCCTGTAATTGCGAGGCAGATGTTGTTGGCCTTATTTTCTAATTCTGGGGATGTTTTTTAGAAGAAGAAAAAAGAAATTAAAAGAACCCAAGAGCTTAAAGCATTCTTCCTTTTGTTGAGCAAGCAAGAGGAACTCATGGTGTTGCTGCCATCTAGAGGCACAAACTGGGTATCTAGAGCTGACTTAATGTCTTTGAATAAACCGATAAGGGTAGATGTGGGGCTCATTTTATTTACTTTACCGTAATAAATATGGTATTTACACAAATTACAAGCAGCAAAGCATGTGCTTTTACAAGTGCGTTCTTGATGCAAACTAAGATATGCAAACTAAGATATGACCCCGCTAGCAGTCAACATGAATCTCAGTGAAATCTGTGTTTGTGGCAGGCATACTGACCTCTGCTGGCTTCTGATTCATTGTAGCGAGATGTACAGCCATAATCACCATGGCCACGGTGAGGAGACAGCACCAAGCCTGCAGCAGCAGGTGCCTATAAGACGACCTTGGCTGATCCTCCATTCTGTCAGACAAGTACGCACAAAACCATTTAACAAATCGGCCTTTCATTTGAGAGAATGACTTTAATTAGTATATCTTCTGGCATAAGTTAACACCAGTTAATCAAGATTTTGACTGCTCTAAATATTCTGTTTCACAGGTTTCTTTCTTCATCTCTTGGCTCTGTCACTGAGGCCTCAAAGGTGGCGGAGCATGCAGAGCTCCACTTTGACCCAGGACCCTCAAATAAAAAAAAATCAAGACTTCCATTTCCTAGTTAAATAAACATCAGGATCAAAAATAACCTTTTTACTTTTATTACAAAGTTTTCTTGATATCATATCCGCATCTTTTAAATGTTAATATACTAGAAGGATTATTTTGAACAGCGAATCATGCAAAGCCACTCTAGTAGACACTGAGAACAAATATACCATTGTTAAAGCTCCAAGAAAGTTTTATTACCTAGTATTCAACAATATATCCTCTCATTTGTGATGTCATGACCTCTTTAATTTTAAATTGCGACCCTTTAGGGGTGAGTGGGGTCTGGGAGGGTCACTTGAGCAACTATCGCAGTATATTTCTGCAGAAAGAGCGCATTTTTTCTTCAGCGTGCTTCACCTATTGTGCTTTTGGGACTTGTACACCTCCACCTCTTCCATTAGGTCAGAGTGCAAAGCCAGACAGTGAGATGAGTTGCAAGTAAGTTCTCACTTTCGCTGTCTTATGAAATGACAACTTTCTAAGAGAAGTCACTGAATTCTTGCCCTGATGAAGTCAATGTGACATGTTAACATGACTCAAAGAAGAACTGGCCTCAATAATCCTGTGACCACAAGCACACACATTTAAACCAGACCCCACAGAAATCATTTACATGGCTCCTAGAATGGCTGCTTTGCACTTGCCGTGTTATGGTTAACCTAACCATGCTGCTGCTTGTCTGGGAGTTTTTTTGTCCGGTACACAGGGTTTCTATGGTTCAACATTTTGTGGTCTGCTTGTTTATTTGTAATGACATAGACAGAAACCACTCAGTGATTGCAAAAAATGCCACTGACCCTGAACTGTGCGTCCAATGCACATTGCTATGGTTTAATTTACATTCCAGTGAGGATGCACAGCAGGCTTCACATAGTTGCACTTGTGCCTGGGTTAGACAGTGAAAACACTGGTTCAACCACTCAGTCTGCAATTCGCTCACGATTTTGTCTCTTTACTCTGAATTCTAAAATTGATATGGATAGCAATTCATTTTCTGGGGGGGAATTAGTCAAAAAGTGTCATTAAATCACTACAAAATCCGAAAAATAAACAAAGGGACATATTATTGGGCTCTTTACATTACTACGCTCTACACAGTTCTGTGTGAAAGCTGAAAAATCGTATCCCCGAACACGCCTTCCCTTTTCTGTAAAAACTTTCTATATTCTGTCATGTAAGCATCACAGCGGCAGCACTGAGCTCAACCACAGACCTCTGAATGAAAACATTCACAAAGAAATCACAGGAAGACAATATATACAATAGGATCTAAATCAATCTTGACTCACCTAGTGTGTGTTGCACTCTCACTGTCCAAATTCATGTGGTGCTTGTCTCTCAAAGACATGTCAGGTTGTCAGGGTTTTCCCTGTTACATGAGCTTGTAGTGAAGATTAGATGGAGTTTTTTTTCTTTTTATAGAGTAGTTTGAGAGATGGGAGGAAGGAGGCTGTGGTGTAGGTGGTGGGGCGGTGAACAGCACAGAGCTACAAACCAGCTCATACAGCCTGGTGTGAAACTGAATAAAACCTAAAAACCAAAATTACATGCAGTTTCATGCATTTCCAATGCACAATGACTTTAGAGTAAGAGAAACATATATTTACAAAACAGACGAGTAAAAAGGTGCAAAATGCCGTAAAAGATGTAAAGATAAGCGTCGTTCCAGTGGTGCGGCCCCTCACTGACACATTCATGTGTGTTGTGGGTGGTTTGTGATTTCCCACGTTTATAGGTCAAAGTCACCCTTTTCTAACACCCAAACAAATGACAGGGGCTTTTTTTTCTTCTTCTTAACTGACCTGATGTGTGATGAGGAAATACAGTGCGTGTGCAATAAAGCACGCTATACAGGTTCCTTGTTGATGAGTTGCGGCCACGTTGTGTCACTCTACAGAGTCTATTTTAATCACAACTAATCAGCTTGAATGTAGCCTGAATTTAGATCTAAGGCTATTCAGAGGGTGAGAGTGAGAGTTATTCATGCATTTATAATTGCAGCTTGTAGATAAAAGCGCGGGAAATATATAGCTGCATCGGGCCATTCGGTGGCTCACGTGTTGAAGATAACTGACTGCAGATTAGAAGGCCAACGTGTTATTTTTACGTTTTCCTGTATGTTGAAAAAGGAATCGATTGCCCGCTGCTTTTAACATCAGGCCTCAAACTTTCACTTTGATACAGCTAATCACATGACTCTGAGCCTAGTGCTCATTATGCTGCTGCAGCCTCTCACTGCTGGGGGACTTCCCATGATGCACTGAGCACTTCTCTTCTGTTGCCTTCTTTTCACCCCCCCTCCATGCAAGAAATGCCATAACTGCATATTTTCATGAGACAGACTTTTTGCTCCAGGTTACTTTTTGCTTTTTGCTTTTTGCTTTCTTTGTTGTTTGTGGTATTTCTACTTTTTTCACTTCCCCTTCCTCTTACTCCTTAACTAGTTATGGCACACAAATGCTTGTCCAAGAACTTCTGCTAGAGAGCTTGTCCTGTAAAAAAAAAATTTTTAAAAGAGACCCTGTTGATACCATACACTTGCTCGGGGGGGGGGGGGGGGGGGGGGGGGGGGGGCCTTGTCTGGTCTTTTCTTTGTAATACAAGTATACAACATAAATCCACTTGACATGTATTCGTGTATACGTGTATTCTGTATTCGTTCTTACTGTTACTTCTTTGCATGAGTTCAAAGGAATCCTTTCTTTTTCCAACACTTGGCCTGGGCAACTCATTTTCCATTTCAAACAACCATTTTAAACTCCTTCAGGCATCTTGTAAGACAGTTTTTTCATCAATTTCTGTGGCCATACTAAAGATATCATCTCTCATTGATAACATGAAGAGCCACATGTATTAAAAACTGTGTTAAGGTGAGTCTGAAGTCTGTGTTTTTGGCTGCCACCCAACTGCTTGGCCAATTAGACCAATGCCATAGACCAATGCCATAGACCAATGCCATAGACCAGTACCATAGACCAATGCCATAGACCAATGCCATAGACCAATACCATAGACCAATGCCATAGACCAATGCCATAGACCAATGCCATAGACCAATGCCATAGATCAGTACCATAGACCAATGCCATAGACCAGTACCATAGACCAATGCCATAGACCAATGCCATAGACCAGTACCATAGACCAATGCCATAGACCAATGCCATAGACCAATGTCATAGACCAATGCCATAGACCAGTACCATAGACCAATGCCATAGACCAATGCCATAGACCAGTACCATGTGCAGTTCTATGGTCTCTTTTCTAGTTTTTTAAATGCAACTAATGGAGTGCCGCTATTTATGCTAATGACTTGGGATAAAATGTAAATCCATCCATTAATTTTTTACGCATATGATACAATCATTTATTGTTGTGCTCACACAGCTAGCTTTTAAATGCACAAAAAACAAGGTCATGTTGCTCCTTATTTAAATAGGAGGGTGGCGGAAGTACTTGGGTATTGTGATTGATAATAATCTTTAAGCCACATATTGACTACCAGTTAAAGAAACTTTAGCAGGTTAAAGAGGCTGACGTTGGAGTTCATTTTCCAAAACTGATTGTGTTTCTCTTTCACTGCAAGGAAAAAGCTTGTTGCTAACATCGTTTTACCCCTACTTGATCACAGTGATATCATTTCCATGAAAACCCTGCTCATTCTCTCCCTCTGTTGGACTCTGTTTATCCCGGGGTATTAAGATTTCTCTTGCAGACGTTAAAAGACAAATGACATGAACTTGTCCTTGTTTTTGATATGATGGGTGTAAACATTAGATAGTTATTTTATTGTTTTTTATTTAACAATTATAATATGTTTGTCTGAAACAGGTCTCTCTTTTAAGTGAGACCATGAGTCTCAGTGGGACTACCTGTATAAATAAAGGTTAAATTAAAAAAAAGAAATATTCAGACTTCATTACCTGGAATATGTCAGTTTTTCTTAAATAAAACAGCTCATTTTTATTGTAAGTATATATTTGTAATAGTATACACATAACAGGAAATAAGTGAAAGCATGTTTGTTTTTTTAATCATTTTTCATTTTTGCAGTTTACTTATGAACAAACATAAGAAAGCGGTGAGATGACACTAGCTTTAGTCAAGAATCTGTGCCACTTGTTTGCTTTCATTTATCGCTGTAGATTGGCACAGGCTGTGGAAAAACTGAGACATGAAGATGACTCATGATGTTTTTTTCTCCAAAATGTGCTTCTGTATATTAAAAGAAAACTGAGAGAACATTAAGATGTGTTATTTATAGATAATGATAGTATAGTTTTCTGGTCCAGCCCAACAACTCATTTTATTGGGCTGTAAAGTTGTTGTTTTTTTAATCTATTATTGTTGCTCATCTAGTGTCTCACACAACATTACTTCTTCTTCTGCAGCTTAACCAAAGTCTGGGTTCCTTTTTGGAGGCCCAATGATGTTTTCAAAATTCATCCAAGGTTTCTCATTTTGCTCTTTATATTTAGCTGCCTCAATTTTAGGATATTTAAAAATTGCATGCAGGTCACTGTCAGTTTGGTGTTATTTCTTGCACTGAAACCTGTGGATGTTTTCCAAGGCAGGCATAAACTGTTTCATAAAACTATCCCAAGAGAAATCAAATAAGTACCACCCAAAGGTAGAGTCGCACTCCTGCACTGTTTCTTTGCAGCAGATGGGTACTTAAATGACTGACTACCTCAGGCTGCTGAAGTCCTTCTTTGGAATACGTGTTGATTTGCATCCGACCAGGGAGGGACCTTTCAATGCATCCCTGTCTGATGCAGATTTTTCTCCCTTTCCATCATATGCTTCTCCAGCTCGTTTGAGGAAGGCACCAGTGGCACCAACCAAGCCAACCAAGAGGCAGAACTGCTCATCTCTGGGTCCTTCCCAAGGTCGCCTCATAGTTTGACACCTAAAAGGCAGCAAAGGAGAAACTTAGTCAGATGCTCAAACTAACTCAACCAGAGCTCTCTGAGGCCTCTCTAAAGACCAATCCTCATCTTTCTCTAAGTGGTGTATAGTTATATAACATGCGTTTTTGAGTTGTATTAAGACCTAAGCCCTACATAGCAAAATGAGGCTTCCATTACAATCCCCAATGTAAGAGTATTTTAAATGATTATTATTATTATTTTATGTCAGAGTTTTTAGGGAGACTCCACTCTTTTCAGTGAGTTCCCCGACTTGAAAGTTATTAAAAATCTGCCTGTAGAGATTGGTTTTTGTGTGTAGTTTTTGAATCTTTTTGAAGTTTTATAATTTCCCCTTTTTATATTACTCTCTCTAAGGCTGAGCTCAGACGCTTGTGGAAAGACTTTCCTTTGCACTGCTTGTGTCAGTGATCTTAGTCTTACCACAGCTTGTGGCCATAAATGAGGGTCGGTAGTTTCTGTTCATGTGCTCTGATGTTTCAGCCACTATGTGTTTGAATTTGATAAGTTTCTATTACCATGATGAGCAAATATTCTGAAGTATACAAACTGGCTCACTGAGAACATTCTTCACTTGCTTTGCAGCAAAGTATGGCTTCTTGTGACAAACTGTCATGTTTGTGCTCGCTCAAACTTGGTTTTGGAAAGATTCTGTTTTGCTAAAGAAAAAGTCCAAATCAAACTACAATTTTTGTAAGGATAAGATGTTGTTTTGATAGAATAATATAGCAGCATTTGAAGTGGAAATCCACTTATGAGGATGAGACTCAGCATGAAAACAGTAGTGAAAGTTGCCTTTTGTGAAGACAGCAGTAAGAGATGAGAGCGAGAGGGTCTATTTCCATTTCTGTTTTTGGTTTCATGTTCCATGGGACATCCCCAACCAACCAGTCTGTGTTCTCCTGGATTATTTAAATGTCACAAACTTTCTCCAACCTTATTTCAATTGAGAGCAAACACACACATACAGACACACCTACACATACAACATGAAAAAGAAAAAGTAGTATGTGGGCTACTGGGTGCTGTCCCCACTCAAAACAAGAAAACATTTTCACCATTGCTTCCTATACACCTAGCCTGTAATAGTAAAATGGTAAAACTAACAGGTATGAGTCCTTCTTTCAAAATACCTCCACAATATTTCCCACCAATAGGTCAGTTGTTATGTTCCAACACTACACCACAAAAAAACAAACTCCTTCATTTAGGACTTCACACTTCTGTTTTTGCGGTCCCATAAACCGCAATGCTACACACTGAGGTACATTAATAAAAAAGAACTCTCAAGTATTTGTTCATACATGACATGGTGTATCAATTCAATTCAATTCAATTCAATTTTATTTATATAGCGCCAAATCACAACAAAAGTCGCCTCAAGGCGCTTCATAGGTACAGAGAAAAACCCAACAATTATATGACCCCCTATGTGCAAGCACTTTGGCGACAGTGGGAAGGAAAAACTCCCTTTTAACAGGAAGAAACCTCCAGCAGAACCAGGCTCAGGGAGGGGCGGGGCCATCTGCTGCGACCGGTTGGGGTGGGAGAAGGAAGACAGGATAAAGACATGCTGTGGAAGAGAGACAGAGGTTAATAACAGATATGATTCAATGCAGAGAGGTCTGTTAACACATAGTGAGTGAGAAAGGTGACTGGAAAGGAAAAACTCAATGCATCATGGGAATCCCCGGCAGCCTACGTCTATTGCAGCATAACTAAGGGAGGATTCAGGGTCACCTGGTCCAGCCCTAACTATATGCTTTAGCAAAAAGGAAAGTTTGAAGCCTAATCTTGAAAGTAGAGATAGTGTCTGTCTCCTGAATCCAAACTGGAAGCTGGTTCCACAGAAGAGGGGCCTGAAAACTGAAGGCTCTGCCTCCCATTCTACTTTTAAATACTCTAGGAACAACAAGTAGGCCTGCAGAGCGAGAGCGAAGTGCTCTAATAGGGTGATATGGTACTACAAGGTCATTAAGATAAGATGGGGCCTGATTATTTAAGACCTTGTATGTGAGGCGCAGGATTTTGAATTCAATTCTGGATTTAACAGGAAGCCAATGAAGGGAAGCCAAAACAGGAGAAATCTGCTCTCTCTTTCTAGTCCCTGTCAGGACTCTTGCTGCAGCATTTTGGATTAGCTGAAGGCTTTTCAGGGAGTTTTTAGGACTTCCTGATAATAACGAATTACAGTAGTCCAGCCTGGAAGTAATAAATGCATGAACTAGTTTTTCAGCGTCACTCTGAGACAGGATATTTCTAACTTTAGAGATGTTGCACAAATGGAAGAACGCAGTCTTACATATTTGTTTAATATGTGCGTTGAAGGACATGTCCTGGTCAAAAATGACTCCAAGGTTCCTCACAGCGTTACTGGAGGCCAAGGTAATGCCATCCAGAGTAAGAATCTGGTTAGATACCATATTTCTAAGATTTTCAGGGCCGAGTACAATAACCTCAGTTTGATCTGAATTAAGAAGCAGAAAGTTAGCGGCCATCCAGGTCTTTATGTCTTTAAGACATTCCTGCAGTTTAACTAATTGGTGTGTGTTATCTGGCTTCATGGACAGATAGAGCTGGGTGTCATCTGCATCGCTACCTGAATGAACCTCAACGATTTGATGGTAGGTGGCTAATAGCTGCTGTCACAAGCCACTACAGCACTGCTTCCAGTTTGATTGCCAGATTGGCAGATTTTGGCACCAAGAAGTAGGGATGGGTACCGGTATCCAGTGCCATTATTATGGCATACCTTTCCAAGGGTACTAGGCGGGCCCAGGTACGTACATTTTTTTTAGAGCAGAGCTACAGATTAAAAATGCCCAAGGTGAAGCGGTCAAAGTCTGGCTGTACTTCACAGCAAAAGATGCAAACTCAGCAGCCTGTAACAAGTGCTTTAAGGTGATACTGTGCAAAGGAGGTAACACCTCGAATCTGATGAAACACCTGGCAACGTATAGCGGGTTTTTTTAAAAAGCCGAGAAATGCACCGTATTTGATAGCTTGCTGCGAGACCTCACTCCAAGCACATCTACTGTGTGGTGCCTGTTACCGGATCCGGAGTTAGCAACATCCTCCAAGAACATGAAGAGTAGAGTCCTGGCCCCTAGCCCTGCCAGTGTAGCAGAAATGATGACGGATGATGATGGTAAATGGCCTGTATTTGTATAGCGCTTTACTACTCCCTAAGGACCCCAAAGCGCTTTACACATCCAGTCATCCACTCATTCACGCACACATTCACACATGGCAGCAGCAGCCGTTCTTCTCTGCGTGAGTAGCTTAATGTTGTTCGTGTGTAATTTACGTTGAGTAGGCTAACCACGTTATTACATTAATGCACGTAAGGCGAACTAGCAAACACCGTCGTAGTTGCCTTGTAATCGGAAGGTTGCCGGTTCGAGCCCCGGCTTGGACAGCCTTGGTCGTTGTGTCCTTGGGCAAGACACTTCACCCGTTGCCTACTGGTGGTGGTCAGAGGGCCCGGTGGCGCCAGTGTCCGGCAGCCTCGCCTCTGTCAGTGCGCCCCAGGGTGGCTGTGGCTACAATGTAGCTTGCCATCACCAGTGTGTGAATGTGTGTGTGAATGGGTGGATGACTGGATATGTAAAGCGCTTTGGGGTCCTTAGGGACTAGTAAAAGCGCTATATAAATACAGGCCATTTACCATTTACATGTGGCTGTCTTCTTGTTTGATGGCAAATACTCCCTTCATGTTGTATCAACAGAAAAGGCTAACTTGGTTATCATTTTGCAGAAAAAAAAAGAGACTGCTAAAAATAAAAACATAAGAGGCTTTTGGACAAAGTTTGTGTTCTCCATTCTTTAAGCACCGGTTCAAGCACCGTTTAAGCACCGGTACCATTTCAAAAGTACCGGTTTGGCACCGGTATCGGATAAAACCTAAATGATACCCGTCCCTACCAAGAAGGATTATTCACAAGAAGAAAACCTTCAGTGCAGGTGCCATGATTGTTTTCTGTGAATTATCCTCCTGGGAGGGCACATTCCAGAAGATTCACCCTAAGGTCCGACAATGCAATGCTCAGTGAAATGGCAAAAATATGCAAGAGCCACATCTTAGACTCTATAGGTCTGACTTAGTATGTTAGATCAAGTTCATGATATTATCTTTAGAAAAGTTGGCTTGATTGCCCTGAGGAAGCTTCTTCTGACTAAAAAGAACATAGTGGTATATTTTAAGTTTGTAAAATTGCATCTGAACAAACCACAAGATTTCTAGAACAATGTCATTTGGACTGAAACATCAAACATCTCCAAAAAGAAAATGTTTGCTCATAAATCATTGCTCCACATGTGGAGAAAACCAAACACAGGATCTCAGTAAACACTTCATACCAAATGGGTAGTACTGTGATGAATGGGTGATGATTTGGCCCAATGGATGGAGTCAGTTTACAGTCAAGCATGGACCTTAGTGTTATAGCGCTAGATGTAAGACCATCTGTCTGACAAACAAAGCTTGGCTGAAACTTTGTTGATCCCAAAAAAATCCGGAAATCTAAAACAAAATGATCTGTATACACAAATGCTGTGTATAAGAGAATGCCCACAAAGCTCAATGAGCTGAAGGAATGTAAAGAAGAGTGGGTAAAAATTTCTCCACAACAATGTGGACACCGGTGAGCCTGGTTCTGCGGAGGTTTCTTCCTGTTGAAAGGGAGTTTTTCCTTCCCACTGTGATCAAAGCGCTTGCTCATAGTGGGTCATACGATTGTTGGGTTTTCCTCAGCAAGTATTTTTGTAGGATCTATCTTACAATACAAAGCACCTTGAGGCAACTTTTGTTGTGGTTTTGAGCTGTATAAATAAAATTGAATTGAACAATGCGAGAGACTTATTATACTCTACTACATCTCATATACTGATGAGGTGTGCTCAGTAACTCACTCAATTCTAGAACCAACCTTTGGTGCCCCCCCCCAAAAAAAACAACAAAAAAACAAAATACAAAAAAAACATTCACTCTGTCTACTGTGTGTCACTACCTATGATGGATTCCCCAAGGCATTTGCAACTGCCTGAATTACTTCAATAACAAGTTACTAAGTGACTGGGTTTTTACAAACACTCATTTCACAATCACACTCCCCTTTGTTTCCCTGAGGAAAGATCAAATACAATGATGGTAGAATTTTGATGACGGCAAAATTACTGTGTGGTATTAAGCAAACTTACTATTCCTTTAATGACTGTGGATGTAATATGCATTGAGTAAAACAATAATAAAGTGGACACAATAATCCTACTGTCACTGTATTTGTGTTTCAGATTCTGATTTAATCTTGATTGTTTATTGTTATTCCTGGTTTTGGTTCTCTTTATTTCTTGTGTTCTTAGTGATTGTAGTCCTTCCTCCTTAGTATTTATGTTAGCCCGTGTTTAGTCTCTGTTCCCACGTCTACTCGGTGCTTTTCCCATGTCCCATGTTTCATGCCCAGTCACCCTTGTCCCTATGTTCACCGTGTCTCCCCATTCACTGTGTTAAGCTTCCTTGTCCTGTGTTCAGTGTATTCAATTTTGCTTCCTCCCCGTCTTGTTATCATCATCATCATCATTTAGTTATTTATATAGCACTTTAAAAACACACCTGGTAGATCAAAGTGCTGTACAATACTAATATGCACATAGTAATAAAACCAGACATATCAATAAAATTAAAAATAATGATAAATATCAGTTACCCACAGAGTTAAAAGCCAGAGAATAAAAATAGGTTTTTTTAATGTCAGATTAATCCCAGCTGTGTTTCCCTCCTGTTTCCATTCTCTTGTTTCTCCCCTGTGTATTTTAGCACGGTGTTTTCCTCTGCCTGTTGTCATGTCGTACCCTCTCTGTGCTGTATGTTTCCTCCTTGCTCCTGTGTTTGTTTTCTCATCAGCTCTTAGTTTTCTAGTTTCTTTGATTTCTAGTTTCTGGTCTCCTGAGTTCCTACTGAGCTCCCGGTTATCATGTTTTCTTTCTTGTATCTTGTTTTGTTTCTACATCCTGCCTGCCACAGCACAACCTTGACACCTACTTTACAACTTTTGTGAACAGCTCATTCTGCTCAAAAGCATCATGGAAATCACCCAGTTTTTTTCTGCAGAGACGTACTGTGAGGCAGGCCCCCTTCTGTGTAGATCTTTGATAGATGTTGTTTCATTTTAACAATAAAGATCACTGTGTTTTTTGTGATGTTTTCTGATGCACCGTAACTTGATATACTTATAAATTTAAAAATGGAAAAGCAAATCACATGAGGGAGACAGGACTTAGGTGTTTTGGTTTTAATTGGTTAACAATTACTCAAGAAAAAAAGAAAGAAATATTCTTGTAATTGAGGATGCCAGTGGATCCAACAGTAACCTGTAAAAACCAAGAACATTTTAACAGTCATACATACATAGACACATACATATGAAAAATGTATATGCTGCATGTGCTCACCGTAATCTTGATAACTACGTGCAAAACTCTGTAAATACAGGTATAACTTTAGAGGTCGACAAATACTATTGCATTCAAGCACAAACAAATTTATTTGAGTGGTTAGAGATAATATCTAAACCGCTCACCTTTCTCTTGACGTGGTGTGACGTTCGCCTGCATGTCATGACAGGCTGCATTTTTCAGAAATGTTGCCACGATGTCAGAGCTATTACTGCTGCGAGCTTGAAAGAAAAATAGTTACCGAAAAGTAAGTTAGTCAAGAAAGTTTAGTGTGTGCATTCAGCAGAAAGCTGGAATTGTGTCAAACATTTAAAATAACCAAAGGTTTAAATTTTTATTGTAATTTTTGTCATCTTTAAGATTGGTTCTCTAGTGCAGCGGTTAACACACTTACAGTAATCACTTGGCTGACTTAATATTTCTGACATTTGATTCAAGCACAATGCTTCATTTTGTTTAATCATTTATTTGCATTTAACGTCTAATTCTTTAAAATAGCTTACAATACAGCATGTGTCTATGCAGGGAGTCTTCCGTTCCTTTCTCCTTGTCTAGTGGAGGCTCTATTTCCTGGAAAATGATGCATTCGGAGCATTCGGCCCACTTGCCACTCCATAGTAGGTTCTTGCGCTGTGGCCTTCCTGTAGTAAAATCACAGAAAAGAGCAAAGCAGATAATGACTGTGATATCAATTTTCTCTTCTAATGAAACTTCTAATCAAACTTTAGCTTTAAATAGGGTCTCCGTGTAAAAATCTAAATTTAAGAAGCAGAATTCTGTCAGTTTTGAGCTAAAGTGCTGCAGAAAATGCTACTTCAATGGATCAAATAAACAGAATTCTACAGTGGAAATTGGGCCCTGGGTACATTAAAGCATAGAAAAACAGGGTGACGGGGCTGGTCAGTTAGAAAAGCTAAATCTGAATTTAGTTATCTTGTCAACTCTAATAAGAAATTACTGATTTGTCATTAAAGAAATTGTCAAAATCCTAAATCACAAGAACATGGCTGTGACCTAAGGTGGAATAAAATAGTGCATTCAGTAGAGTCCCATTGTGGTTTCCCATTTAATGTGGTATTATAAAAATAGTCCATAACAGGTGGCAGAAATTTTCACTTGTCCCTATAATGTGGCAGGGTTGATTTTTAAACTTTACAGTCATTTCAGGTGCTGAATGTGGGACTTTCTGCCTTTATGCTGTTGCTAACCACTTTTTTGTGATGTAGACTCAATTCACCATCAAATAAAAGGACCAGCACATTTTTAAAGTCATTTCTGGGGCACTGTAGTTATTTGCAGTGTTTATGTTCACTGTCAATTTATTTGTATAGCATGACGTGTTACAGCAAAGGGGATTCACAGGGACGAGAACATAAAATTCTCTTTTGGGCTGATAAATACAATACTCTGGAAAGATATTCATCCCATTCCTGGTGTCTTTTCTTTTTGCTTTTTTTGCACATGCAGTTTTATTTAGATCAAAGAAACTATAAATTTTTATGGGCATAGACAGCACGAGTTAAACACTGAGAAGAAGCTGTTTATTTTTGCTGTTTTAAAACTAAAAGAAAATGATGACTGACTTTCACACTTTTTGACCAGCTTCGTGTGGATGGGTCAAGACTTTTTTTTGTAATTTATGTGTTACAATGAAAACTGTCAATTATATGTGTTTGAAGTAATTACAAGTAATTTATAGAAAACCTTGGTTTCTTTTGCATTACTAGCAGACTCGAAGGGCCTATAAATCAAATTCTGAACAGTTCATTCCTATCTGAGGTCTTGTCTGAACTGTTGCCCTAAAATTGAACCCTGAGGAATGTAAGGCCATTGAGGTGAGACAAACGAGTCCTTCCCTCACGAAACAAGCAAAAAAACGAAACAAAAAAACCACCGATTGCAAATACATGCTGCAAATCCCTGTGACATCAGATATGCAAACCCACAGTCTGTTGAACAGGATACTGTTGGTGAAATGGTCACAAATATTTTCCCTTTTAACGGGTAAATACATCACAGAAGCCAGGGGGTTTGTGCTGATATTAATCACTTTGCTCCTAAAACATGAAACAATCTTTCACAGAAGTGACTTTCACCTTACAGCTCAGTGAACTTTACACTTGTCCTACATTGTTAGGTTCTTTAAAAAAAAAAAAAGGTTATGGTTTGGGTTAAAATTCAGCGGAATACAAGTGGTAGACATGAGCTTCTTCCAAATCACGTTTGGGCTCACTCTTTGAGACGGGTCATTTGTGGGAGTCTGGTTAGAGCTGCTGCTCACCTCAATGGCCTTACATTCCTCAGGGTTCAATTTTAGGGCAACAGTTCAGACAAGACCTCAGATAGGAATGAACTGTTCAGAATTTGATTTATAGGCCCTTCGAGTCTGATAGTAATGCAAAAGAAACCAAGGTTTTCTATAAATTACTTGTAATTACTTCAAACACATATAATTGACAGTTTTCATTGTAACACATAAATTACAAAAAAAAGTCTTGACCCATCCACACGAAGCTGGTCAAAAAGTGTGAAAGTCAGTCATCATTTTCTTTTAGTTTTAAAACAGCAAAAATAAACAGCTTCTTCTCAGTGTTTAACTCGTTTGGATGTCAAAGGAGTCAGCTGAGGTGGTTCTGGCCTACTGATCACCACTTAGGTGTTGTGCTTCAAGCATGTCTCAGTCAGAGTCACAGTGACTTTATTTATCCTCAAGGGGCAATTAAGATAGATACTTTGCCAACCGCACATACAATACACAAACATCACATTGGGGAGACAGGTCAGGCTAGCAATGGACGGTCGACCGCACGAGCAGCGACCCGATCCGAAACAATGGAAAGTGCACAACACGATGAAAGACAAACGAACTCCCCCCAGACTGAGCTCCAACGGGGAGATCAGTTTAATAAAAAAACACCTCAGCACATGACACATGAATCATCACATCTCACAACATAGAAGACATAAGCTTTGAAGGCGTTTGGAGGGGGTGGGGGTGGGGGGGTGAGTGTAGGTCTCTGTCAGTGTACATGCGTATGTGTGCGTGTGTCCGTGTTCAGCTGAGAGAAAGTGTCCCTTCACTCAGTTAGGCAAAAGTCAACAATCTTCGGTCGACGCGGGTGGCCTGGACTGAGGGAGAAAGTGTGACCACCTCCATCAAGAGCCAGGAAAGAAAAAAAAAAAAAGAAATGTCTGACCAGGAGGAGATCCCCTGTGGGTGTATGAAATGATCATTTGAGGCTGATGTTACGGCCCCTGGCCTTGGAGGAAGTGGGCCGGCCTCCCTGTAGGGAAACCCAAGTGTGCCAGGACCTATAGACGATTGGCTGGCTGTTGACCTGTGATGCTCCAGGGACCAATGAGTGACTGATTGTACCCACCTGTGACTACAAAAGGCTGAAGAACTTTCATTCAGTGGACACTGCTTTGGACTGAATGTGCAGGTTGTCCCTCAAGCTTCTGTCTTTGTACCATGTTTGTTGAACTCTGTTTAAGGTGTGGAATTTTGCCTGAATAGCCTTCAGTCGTATTCCTGCCTGTGAGGCTAGACCTAATTTGTACCTGTACACGAGAAAGTTCTTTTGTGTTGGCCAATTGCCTAGTGGTTTGCTATCAGTTTTCAGTTCTGACTTTTTTTGTAATAAACCTTTTTCTTAAACTGATTCCCTCCGTGGTGGCCTCATTTATGTTACCTTCCCTGTTGCCTAGCAGAGCCAGGACATAATGGGATAATTAAAGAAAATCTTGGTGTACCAGGATAATGAACAAACATTAAAGTCCACTTTACAACAAGTGTTATTACCCAGATCTACCAATGGCCACAGCTGCTTTGGGGAAATACAGGGTTTAGTGGTATGCCCAAGGAGATTTCAACAATTGAAGGAGCCTAAACATCTGACCTACTGCTGCTTCAACAACTGTGTCACCAAATGATGTGACACATAATGAAAAACAACTTGTGAAGAAATGAAAACTAGGTCAGTGCAGCTGTTAAAAGTTATTTAACATGATATGCCACAGTGCCACAGTAGGTGGTTAGATAGGCACACATTTTGCCACTTTTAAAGGGCAAAAAAGTCCAGCTGTAAAGGCAGGAAGTAGTTGATGATGATGGTAATCATTTTGGTACCATAGTCGCAGATTACCACCCACATCATTATACTTGTTGTCATGGTCCTGGGTCATTCTGACCCAGTATTCTTTGTTTCCTTGTGTTTCTGTAGACTGTGAAGTTCATTTGTTGTTTTTGGAGTTATTCTATCGGTCCTAAGTTGTTTAGTTTAGTTTATCATCATGTCTGTGCTCTCCCTCATGCTCCTCAGTGTTTTTCTCTTCCCCTCTGGTCTGCGTCTTTGTGTATTTCCTGTGTTATTGTGAAGGTCTGGTCTCGTCATGTCTGATTACTCCCAGCTGTGCTCTCCTTCTGTGTCTCATTCCCACGTTATCACCTATGTGTATTTAAGCCTTGTATTTGCCTCTGTTAGTTGCTGGTTCTTCTGTGATGTCTCCCCGGGTCTCCCCGTGTTCCGCTGCATGTTATCTTGTGAGTTTTGGCTTCAGTTTCATGTGTTTAGGTTTTCCCAGTTTAGTTATTTCTTGGTTCCTGTCCTCCCCATCTCCACTTAAATAAACTCACTCCTCATCCCAACCTCTGCCTGAACATCTGCCGACACAGCAGTGACACTTTTTTAGGTTTGTTTTTTTGAGTTGGCCACTGCATGACAGCAAACTCCACACTTTCCAAACAGTTAGCGCACACAGGCCTAAACAGAGGCGCTCATGGTCAAAGTGCAAACTGACTCTAACCGTAGAAAAACATTTAAAATATGAAACAAAAGCAGATTCTAATCTGCGAACACATGTATGAGCTCTTCCAATCAATCATTACACAATGGACAACAAAATACAGTCCTCAGTGCAAATCAGTGCACCATTGCTCGTCATTGTAGCCAGTTGTCAACTTTCTACATAGCCTGGACCAAATCTGTCTTCTGGCAATGAACTGGATGCAGAATCAGAAATGCTTTGATTCAGAAATGGGCAATATGCTGGGAGGAACTGCATCATCATACGAGGGTGTACTGCAAACCGCTTATTGACAAGGTGAGAGTGGTGCAACACCACATTCTCCAAAATAATTACAAGATTGGCATGACCGGCCTCAACAGCCGTCTCTCCTCAGGTGGGATCAGCTTCTCACAAAGTGCGTTCAGGAATGTTATGAGGCGCTCGGTGTTGTACGGGCCAATAGTGGGGATATGGCATAGGACACCATCACTGGGGATGGCAGCACGCACGGTTATGTTGGCGCCCCTCTGTCCTGAAACGGTGAAAGTGGGGCTGTACCCAGTGGGGTTCTTTCCACATCTCCTCTTTTACAACATAAATGGAGACACGATGTGCCCCCAACTTCAAGCCCCATTATTCTCTCAGTAAAAAAGGACAAACTTACAATGAAAGGTGTCTCCAGTTGACTCTAACTGTATGATATGACAAGGCATTACAGTATAGTAATATTTCCACATATTTTCATCTGGCCTCCTTCACAGCATCAGAGTTCCTTTGAGATGGAACTGCTGCTTCATTTCCACATGGTTACTTCTTGGGACGCGGTCAGTGGTGGTCAGGCTTATGGCATTGTTTGTAACGACCATGTTCACAACATGCAGAGGATGGCAGCCTTTGGATTCTATAAAGATGTATAGTAAGTTGTAATGGGAATGAGGAAACAGTTACACAAAGTATATCACTGAAGATATCTCTGTATATACTGCACAGCAATCTGTTCTCCAGTCAAAAAATTCTGACAACGAATGCAGCAGTGTTTCTGTCTAGAACAAGCTGTACTCTTTGTCCAGCCTCTAAGTAAAAGGCCATGATTGATAACATGATCAACAACAGCTGCCCAAATTTCTTCTGAAACTTGGGCCTTTCCAACTACACCTGCACCCCTCTACCTCTTACTCTCACTCTCATTTGCCTCAGACCGCCTCCATCCGTGCTGGTAAAGAACAACACAGACGTGCCACCTTTTAAGTCCTGCAGACTGAAGATTATTGTGATGGCTCTTGGCGAAGGCGGTCACACTTTTCTCCTGCTCTCCCTTATCTTCCCTGCTTAGCTTCTTATGTCTTTGTCTTGTCTCGTGTTTTTACTTTTCCCTGAAACACTCTCTCACAGTCTGTTTCTAAAACCTAAAAGAGAATTATGGATTTGATCAACTGGTCCCTGAATGCTATTGACACCCTTTTCTCAACGAGAAGTCCGAGTGTCCTGGAGGTACTTTCCCTGCCGGATACACGATGGACGGGTGGCAGACATGGAGGGTCGTGTGCCTGGCGGGACTGTCGATCGAGGACGCTGAAGATATCAACCTATTCGGAACCATGATAACAGGGTTCTTGCTGATCGGAGCTGGCTTGGCCCTGGCTTATCGGGGAATTAAGAAAGCGGAACCGGCTGTTCAAACCCCCCCAAGGCTGCTCGCTGGGATTGAAACGATGGGACGAGGTGCAACTTCGCAGAATGGGCTCACTGAGTGCAGCATGGATAAGACCTTGGAGAAGCTTACGGCTGTTGTGAATACTCAGAATAAATTGGATCACATCTTGGAGCAGCTCACTGCGGTCGTGAGTTCTCAGAATCTGCTCTTTGAGCACAAGAATGACAAGACCACGGAGCGCAAGTTTGATAACATCATGGAGAAGCTCGCGGCTCTCCAACAGGAGATGGAGAGACCAGTGTCAGACTGTTAAGAACAGCTTGAAATTCTCATGAGTTGTTTGCACTAAAGAAAAATCACCATCATAATGTGGCTATCCCTTTGGTGCCAGCTGTGGTCTCAAGGCTGGAGCTGAACAAAAACTCCCTGATAATGACTGTTTAGACTGTTCTTCCCACTCCATGCAAGGCCACCTGGGTTGGCTGGCAGTCTGTTTACTTAGCCTGGCAGGGCGAGGGACAATGTCTCAGCTGAACTATGGACACGCACACACATACACTTACACTGATAAGCACTCACTCATCCCTCCTCCCCTTCCAAACGCCTTCGACGCTTCGACATTTATGTGCTTTCTGTGAGAAGGAGTTTTTTTTGTTTCCTGGTCTCATGCTGTCCTCCCAGAAGCCCAGCATGAGCAGAGGTCTCTTTTTTTCCTCTTGTACTTTCCCATTGTAGTGCACATTTCAGTGTTTTTCTGTAATGCAACCGTTCTCTGACTTGTATCCCCATGTGATGTCTGTGTTGTGTGTGTAAGGTCGGGGGGCGGGTTCATTCCACTGCAGGGCAACCTGCCACTGCATGTGGCGAATAAAATTTGAACTTGAACTTGAACTTGGAGTGTCAAACAGGTGCCTTAGGGGTTTCATACATATTTCTGTTTGGTTACTACAGCTAAAACAGTGAGGTTTGGACTACTTGAATCACATCTGTAATAACTGTTTTGCAGTCTGGTGGGAAAATGTGTCAATTCAGTGAAAAAATTGTTAACATACTTGCTCTGCTGAGATAGTGATGTTAAAAACTGAATGGATCCCAGTTTTTTTAGGCAGGTCAATGCAATCAAGAAAAACTGTAATATTTTAGAATGAGATCGAGTTGTTTGATACTTTAATCCACTTAACCCAGTATTCTCAAACATCTGCATTAGGTAACAGAGTTAAGACGGACTTTTGCGAGATCTTGCAAAAATCCGTCTTAATTTTTTTTTCTCCCGTGTCCCCTGCGGGGCTCCGTACAAACGTAAGGAGTGTAAAACTATGTGTCAAATTTTAGTGGGACTGTAAGAAGTTCTGCATTTGCAGGAGCAAAATTTGACAGTTGGCTGGTATGATACGCATTCTGTGTACTGAATTGTTCTTTGCGTGTGTGTGTGTGTGTGTGTGTGTGTGTGTGTTCATGTTAGATAAGCAAAGCTGTGACACAGTGAGTGAACTGTGTAGCTGGGTCATTGATCGTTATGGTGATAGCACAGTCAGGAGTGTGCAGAGCATTACTGCACGCTGCTATCTGTTTTGATCTAACTTTTGAATTTTCAAGTTGACTTGACGTCTGTGTTATCTTTTACTATAAACTTTCTACAAAACAAGACTAATGATTGACGGCTAAATTTGAATATCAGTAATTTAATTTGCAAAACGTAATAAATGTACTTTTGTCTGTCTAAAGTAAAGCAATTATATCAACACAGATTTAATTGAGAATTTCAAATAATGAAAATGTGTTCGCGTATTCATCTAAAACATTTATCCATCCATCCATCTTCTCCCATTTATCTGGGGCCAGGTTGCAGGGGCAGCAGCCTAAGCAGAGAAGCCCAGACGTCCCTCTCCCCAGCCACCTCTTCCAGCTTGTCCAGTGGAACACCGAGGCGTTCCCAGGCGTCTGCCCCTGGGCCTCCTTCTGGTAGGACATGCCCTGGAGACCTCACTCAGGAGGTGCTTAGAAGGCATCCTTGTCAGATGCCCGAACCACCTCAAGTGGCTCCTTTCGAAATGAAGGACCAGCAGCTCTACTCTGAGCTCCTCCCGGATGGCCGAACTGCTCACCCTATCTCAATCACCCTTCCAAGGAAGCCCATTTCCGCCGCTTGTATCCGTGATCTCGTTCTTTCGGTTACTACCCACAGCTCGTGACCACAGGTGAGGGTAGGGACCTAGATCGGCCAGTAAATTGAGAGCTTTGCTTTTACACTCAGCTCTCTCTTCATTACAACAGACCAATATACCGTCCAGATCACTGCAGCTGCAGCACCAATCCGTCTGTCAATCTCCCGCTCCCTTCTCCCGTCACTCCTGAACAAGACCATGAGACACTTAAACTTCTCCACTTGGGGCAAGAACTTGTCCCTGACCCAAGTGGGCACTCCACCCTTTTCCGGCTGAGGACCATGGCCTCAGATTTGGAGGTGCCGATTCCAAAGCGAGCTGGAGGCCATCACCCGATGAAGCCAACAGAACCACATCATTCACAAAAAGCCGAGATGAGATCCTGAGACCACCGAAGTGAAAGCCTTCTGCCACTTGGCTACGCCTAGAAATTCTGTCCATAAAAGTTACGAACAGAATTTGTGACAAAGGGCAGCCCTGGCAGGACCCATCACCCACCGGGAACGAGTCTGACTTATTGCTGGCTATGTGGACCAAGCTCTTGCAACAGTTGTATAAGGATCGAATGACCCGTAGCAATGAGCCAAACACCATTAAAATTAGAAAAGTTAGAAAAAAATTTGTTTTCTTTAACTTCATCAACAGTTCTGCCGGTGTTTTCTTCTTGCCTGCACTGACATTTTTAAGAAATACTTAGAAAGGGTAATAGAAAGGGTTTCCCCAAACAGATAACAGCAGGACTCTGGGAAGCTGCTGCATAGTTTGTTGCTGTATTTGTTGTCAGTTTGTTTATTCTTTTTTATTTATGAGCACAAAGTTACCATCTTAAAAATCTAACTTACTTTGACCTGTGGAAACCCATATTTACTGTGTGTATGTGTGTATTATAAGCGTCTGTGTAAGTAGATGGTGCTGCAGATACCTTCCAGTTCCAAATCATTGCTCTCAAGATTTATATGATAGGTCCAGGTCTGCTTTATGCAGTTATCCCCCCTGAAAAACAGTGAACATGGCAATTTTTATAAATGCAAGTGAAACATAGAAGAAAGACTTTCGTTTCATTCTGAAACATGCACTGACAACTGTTACATTTTCTACACATCACTTCCCTAATTCTAGTATCTATTTGTGCTTGTGGGGTTTCTTGTTTCTGTTAATTTCTCCTGTTCTGACCATTCCATTAAGCAGTTTCACGCACGTGTTTATCCATTTCGTCAAACTCCAAAATCAGGAACACTCCACTGGAACATTTCTATTTTTTAACTAACTTGAAAGTAAGTAAAGTTTATTTCACTGTAATCAGAATCACAAAGCGCTGAACAACAATTACAATGCAATATAAACAAAGAACCATATTAAAAACAGAATTTAAGGTTAAAAACAGATAACAAAAGAATCTCAGCAGAAGGTTGGATTAGAGAAAGACTCCACAGAGTCAGCTAAACAGAACTACAGTGGTAAACTGTTTCAGAGCCTCGGTGCCACAGACTGAAAAGCTCTGTCCCCCTTAGTCTTTAGCCTTGGATGAGGGACAGCTAATAAAGTTCGAGGTTGTGAGATAGCAACCAGCAGTGTGTTTGAGGAAAAAGTTGAGATAAATAGTCTGGAGTTTGTCTATTTGCTTATCTGTATGTAAGTGTGAGGATTTTAAAACTCCTGAAATCAAGTGGGAGCTGATGTAAAGGAAATAAAACAGGGGTAATGTGAGCTTGCTTCCCAGAATGTGTCAGGAGTCTGGCTGCAGCATTCTGAATTGCAGGTGTCACAGAGGTGATTTTTCTATGCCCGTAAAGAGGGCATTACAATAATCTAAGTGCAATGACACAAGTGAATGAACAGTTGTTGCATTTCAGAGGAGGAAACTATAGCTCACAGCTTAGAAATGTTCTGTGCTGTTAAGCTGACGTGCTTTTTCGGGATACGATTTTATTAAATAATTGTGTGCATCACATGTTTCAACTTGCTTTGATGCAGGTGATTTCACAATTTCACAGGTGATTTCATTTAGCTTCAATGTCCAGAGCAGGGGTAGGCAACTCCAGGCCTCGAGTGCTGGTGTCCTGCAGGTTTTAGATCTCACCCTGGGTCAATACACCTGAATCAAATGATTAGTTCATTACCAGGCCTCTGGAGAACTTTAAGACAAGTTGAGGAGGTCATTTAGCCTTTAAATCAGCTGTGTTGGATCAAGGACATCTAAAACCTGCAGGACACCGGCACTCGAGGCCTGGAGTTGCCCACCCCTGGTCCAGAGAATATCATTGAAGTGGGTTATTTATGCTTTTCATTATTTGCATTCATATACACTCACAGGCCACTTTATTGAGTATAGCATGATTTTATTGTGCTGGACCCCTTTTTACCTTCAGAGCTGCCTTAATTCTTTGTGGCATAGATGAGTCCTCAGAGACTTTGGTCCATAGTGACACAATAGCATCACAATTGCTGCAGATTTATTTACATCCCAAAGGTGCTGTGTTGGATTGAGATTTGGTAATTTTGTGAAAGGCCACTAGACTGCAGCGAACTCATCATCATCATGTTCACTAAACCAGTTTGAGCTGATCTGAGCTCAAACACAGTGTGCTATCCTGAGGCCTTCCCCAAACCACAGCCTCAATTCACCCTCTTCAGCTTTTCTGCCATTACCTACTAGAAACACTGTCAAACCTAAATGTTGTCTGCAGTAACTGAGACTCATCAGACCTCAACATCTTTCCAGTTTTCTATTACCCAGTTTTTGTGAGCTTGAATTTTAAACTTAGCTTCACATTCAGAAATTCTCTTCTGCATACCCTTTGAGTTTTGCAAGAACATTTCATTTTTTCCCTTACATCGAGTTATTTTATTATTATTATTATTATTATTATTATTATTATTATTATTATTATTATTATTATTATTATTATTTGTGGAAAAAAGAAAACTGGCATACTGTACTTGCGGGGATCAACAGTCACTTATGGGGACAAAATGCTCGTCCCCATGAAGACATTTTCAGACTCAAAATGTGGTTTTAATGTCAGGGTTACAATTAGGTTATGGTTAGGTTTAGGCTAAGGTATAGGGTTAGGGGTTCATTTGTAATGGTTAGGGTATGCAGTTATGGAAAGCATTATGTCAATGAGATGTCCCAACAAAGTTATCCAATCCAATTTTATTTATGAAGCACTTTAAAATACCCAGCACAGGACCAAAGTGCTGTGCAGAAAATAAGTTGAAAAAAATAGAATAACAGAAAACATGAAAAATAAATAAAACACATAATACATAAAAATTAAAACAGCGCTATATTAAAAAAGAAAACAACATAAAACAGCATAGAATCAACTAAAAACAACTAAAATAAAACGAAAAAATAAAAACCAACATCTCATGTGGTGTCAAAGGCCAGAAAGAAATGAAAGATTTGAAAGTGTGTGTGTGTGTGTGTGTGTGTGTGTGTGTGTGTGTGTGTGTGTGTGTGTGTGTGTGTGTGTGTGTGTGCTTGAACTTGCTGCCTCACATGCGCATGTGTCCAGTCAGCAGCAGTGTGTCGTTTGCTCTTTCCTCCATGGTGAAGACAATGTTGTCCAGCACTCTGAACTTCTGGATGTCCGCCTCTCTGTGACTGACTGCAGCTTTAAAGTACCATGTCCCCAGATGCTGCAACAGACACACACAGAGTGTGACATGACAGTGCGGGGTAGCAGTAACTGTATGAGAACGAAAGCTATTTAAAATAGCCCACGTCAGAAGACCACTTATGGAAAGACCAGAGGGAGTAGGAAGTGCATCTTTGTGGTTGTACTTAATATTTATCTCGGTAAATCTCTCTGCAGTTGTAGTAAGTGTGAAATACCAATCCTGTACAGATAAGATGCACTTAACCAGAACATTACGCAATAAGGTCAACAGTAAATCCCGTCGTACTGAGGTTATTATAAAAAAAACCCTCAGACCAGTGAGGGAAGTGCCTTTGGTATTTTCATAAATCTAAACCTCTACCTTTGATTTTTACTCTCACCTTCTGCCGGTCGATCGCGTTCACAGACAGCATCTCAGGCTCCAAGCAGGGAACGATGGTCTGATACAACAAAGTGTACAAAGACAGAACAAGAGAGAAGACTTCTTTTAACATAGCTGCAGTCTAAGTCAACACTTTGTAGTAATCCTGATCAAAATGCCCGGAAACTCCCAGGATTGTCTCTGAATGTGTGCAATACTCCAACAGACCACTTTATCAGTGTGGGTGGAGGTAAATGATTAATCTGCACAGCAGCATTACCCCTGAACTTTAAAGGTAAATAATAGGTTGGAAATGGGATGTTTGCATCCATGAACATAAAACTTCAGCGTCAGGATAAAATACATTTATAGGAAACTGAGACATTTATTCTCACAGGTATTCTTACTCATCCAACACTTTCTGAAAGGAATAAACTCGCTAAAAACTCACCATCACTGACTCATCATCATATGTAGGAGGTGTTTGTGGCTATTTCTAAACTGGAACCAACCAAATTTTCTCACGAACATAACAAACAACAACCCCAAGTTTTAACTTTGTTTGTGTTCATCCTGCCCCGCGTCCCACACCTTCTGTCAACACACACACACACACACTAGGAATCATTAACTTCCTGTTTCGTCTTCCCATACTAGGTTTGGGAGAACTAAATTACTGAATTATTAAGAATCACACACGGCTCTCTCAATCAGGTTTGCTTCTGATTTAAAAAAAAAAAAAAAAAGTCAAGAAAACAATTGTATCAAAAAACAAAGAATATTTAGTTGAAGGCTATTAACAAAATAATAATCAATAAATAACAAAACTAAGCAAACATTCCCTGTAAATGACCAGTTTTAAAGACTATGAATAATTGTCAAAATATTTTGAACAGCTAATTGAATAACTGACCTTTTCATGTCTCATGTATGAAGAAGTCTCTGCTGTGTGTTCATTTGAATTCTGCTTAGAGCTGTGTTCCACACCTGCTTCCACAAGGTGGAGTTGTTACACCTAATTAACTTTCTCCAGATAATTCACACTTCAAAGCAAATAAGGAAAGTTTTTTTCCTACATCAAAAATCACATCACATTAGTTTCATTTCAATTTGGGGTTTTTTGCATACGGTTACATAATTGTGATCAAATTATGTTGTTTCCTACAATAAAGTGATGATAAACTATAATGAGTAGAGTATAAAAACAAGTCAGTTAAACTTCTGGTCAGTTTGGGGAATTTTTAATCGGGTTCAGCCGCTTTGGTGTTAATGAAATTAAATGCAGGTGCACTAGAGGGAAAACAATGAGAAAGCCCCAAAACAGGATTGGTTTTAAGGGTGGAGGACATTTCTCCCTCTGCATCTTTTCTGACTGTTTTTACACTAGTCTAGCTTTTGGCTAGGGTCACTGTCACTACTGGTAGCAGGAGGCAATACAAGGATCCTACAGAGTTGTAAGTTAATAAGTACACTAATGCAGTGGGCTCTGGGTTCTTCCTGGAGCACAACAATGCCCAACCACTTGTTGCAAGAGTATGTAGGCAGCTCCTGGTGGATGAAAGAACTGATACCATTGACTGGGCCCCACACTCACCTGACCTAAGTCAACAGAACACCTCTGGGACATTATCTATCTGACGCTGCCAGGTAAAGCTAATATTATGAGACTTACGATGTAGAAAAACTGATTTTTATGTATTTGTTTTCAAGTGTGAATTATCTGGAGAAAGTTAATTAGGTGTAACAACTCCACCTTGTGGAAGCAGGTGTGTAACACAGCTCTAACTCAATTTCAAAATAACACACATGAACCTCGGTGATAGACTGTCGTTCCTGCTGTGTAGATAACCAACCTGATTTGTTTTCTAAATTGAGATTTGATGCATTTTTAAAGTTTCATTTTATAACCAGTATATTTAGACATGCTTCAAAAAAGTTTTGACATCGAAATAAAAGAATAATATTGTGCAATGGTGAAAAAAAATAAACTGGGGGAAAAAAGGTGAGATGTTCACTGAAGCTGAGCAGTAAATACAGGGAAGGCTTCTCCACATTGACAATAGGTCAAAGTTCATGTACTTATAAAATACCCCACATACTGAGTGATGTTTTTCTTGGGGATTAAATACATATTTCACTCAATAAAACTATTATATAGTGTGTTTTTTCTGGACTTTTGATTAATTATTTGGGCTCTTTCCATTAAAATGAAACTGAATTTTGGTCTCTAAGCTTGTGAGTCTGAGGCTTATACAAGAAATGTTGCACAGTTAAGCTGTACTAAGAAGTGGGAAAATGTCCTTTACCCAAACAAAAAGAAATCCTCCTGAATAAAAGAAGGTCCATAAGGGATTAGTGTCAGAGGCCAGCTTAAAGCCAGCGTGTATGATGGTGTTGTTTCACGTCAATGAAAAACCATGTAGAAACCTAGATCCATCCCTGAAACTGTGTTGTAAACAAAGGATTTGTGTAAGTGGTAATTTTCTTCTACCCCTCAGGAGAATCACACATATTTAGCCAGACTTTGTTAGTTCTATTACCTCGCTGTCAAATCTTGCGCTTCAATGTAGCTGCTTCATTGTTACAGGGCGGCTCGTCTCTTATTGTATCGTCTCCTCTACTGAGTAAATAAATAATCTACAACAGTTGTCTCCTCAGTTTCCTAATGCTTACAGGGTGAATAGATTGAATGCTTACAGATTAAACAATAAGAGAAAAAACACTTTAAATTGTTTTAATTTTTAATCGTAATCTTACTGACAAACACGCATAGCTTGTTAACAGAGTGATCCTTGCACAGAGCTTAAAAACAGCTTGGAGGAGAATGTGCAGACAGGACGGTGTGAACAGTGAGCAGCTGGCCTGGGTAGGAAAATAAAAGTTTATATAGCGTACTGAAGCGTGAGGCTGTCAACACTGGAAGGAAAGCTATAATCCCAAAAAATGCAGATATTGTGAACTAACGTCATTAGTTTTCCAAGAATCAGACAGCAAGAAGTATTTACTTAAGTGAATTTCTAGTAGCCCAACTTTCCAGTAATGACCATTACCAGAAAGGAAAACAGATGTAAATTCTTACTGTTGACAGCAGTTTCATTTCTGTCTGTAATTATAGTGAATCTATCCCCCTGCTACAATACAATTAGTTACTAGAGAAAATTTTGACCCTTCTGCAGGGTTACTGGAGCTAATCTGGATATGTGCAGCAGCTTCTTGTTCCCTCCCTCAGATGGCCAATGCAGATCCATCTACTACTCTCCTTTCAGGACTGATACCAGCTCTCCACTCTCCTTTAGCTCCTTGACAATGTCCAAACCACCGATAAGCTCTCCTTTCACGTAGAGCTGAGGGTAGGTTGGCCAGTTAGAGTAAGTCTTGAGCCCCTGCCGCACTTCTTCATCCTGCAGGATATCAAAGGTGTCATAATCCACCCCAGTACCGTTCAAGAGCTCCAGTAACTGCCTGCTGAAGCCACATCTGGCAGCCTCTTTCTTGCCCTTCATGAACAGCATGACTGGACTCTGATTGATGATGGTCTTCAGTCGGTGCTCTAAGGTGACAGCCTTCGGGCAGGTGTTCTCCAGCTCTCCGGACTCAGCCAGTTCCTTCACTATGTCCAGTCCTCCCACCAGCTCCCCGTTCGCATACAGCTGGGGGTAGGTGGGCCAGTTGGAGTAGGTCTTCAGCCCCTGTCGGACCTCCTCATCGGACAGGATGTCGAAGCTGCTGAACTGGATTTTGTGCTCTTTCAGCAGCGCCACTATCTGTCGGCTGAATCCGCAGCGGGGCTCCTGGGGTGACCCCTTCATGAAGAGCATGCAGGGGGCGGCGTTAAGCAGCTTCTTCAGCCGCTGGTTCAGATCTGCGCCGCTGCCCTCAGCGGCTCCACCGGGACCCTCGCTCACCGCGAGGCGCTGCACTTTCTTAGTCAGTTCCGGAGCGTGGGCCCCGTCCAGACTGTCCACTTTCTCTCCCCCCTTGAAAAAAAGGAAAGTGGGGACGGAGGAAATTTCATACTTCTCCGACACCTCCGGGACCGCTTCCGCCTCCAGCTTCACGAACGTAGTGTGCGCATGTTCTTTGGCTAGTTCGGCCATCACCTCGTTCATTTGGCCACACTGAGGAGCCCACGCCGCTTGGAAATGCACCACGGTCAGGCATTTTCCAGCTTTGGCTAAGAAATCTTCAAACTGCTGTTGGGTAGTCGCCTCCACGAGATTCGCCATTTTTCTTTCCTTTCACCCTCTGCACGCGCAGTGGTTCCGGTGCCGCCTAGACGTCATATCCGCGTAGCCTGGCAGTTTCTGGCAAGTACCAGAGAAGCTACAGGGAAGTCGTTTGCATGCTAGCTGATGATAAGAAAACAGCTGCATACACTGGATACGTCGAGAGGATAGTAACTTTTAAGGTAACTGTTTAACGACACGGACTTAATTAAAACTAAATTTCACACTGTCTCGGATTGCTATGCTAATTTTAACGTTCCGTTTTAGTAGCATTAGCTAGTTAGCTCAAAGTTAGCTTCGTTCGTGACGTCTGCCAGGTTTCCAAGTTAAGCAAAGCTAATTCATGCTAGCAAACCTTTGGCGGCTAAGTAAGCTACTGTTACATGTAATTTCTGTTAAATAGAAGTAGAGTCAAATACCACAGTTCTAACAGTTAAATTAATAAAAGGCTTAAATAAAGACAATGCAGGTCGGTGTCTGGCCCAGCATGAAGCAGCCTCGGTTCCTCGGCTAACTACTCAACATTACGATGTTACCGAGCACGCAAAGTCCAAAACAACAGGAGCAAGTGTTTAGCTGATCGGACTCAGCTGTTTCCTTCGGTTTTACATCGGTGGTTTGTACAAAAAAATCGTTGCATGTTTTTGTTGTTGGTTTTAAGGAACATGCAACTGAAGTTTTCTGCACCTGCGGGTGGCACTACTTTCTTTATAAATTCATATTCTGTGTAGTTGTCAAGACAAGTAAGATGGTGGCGAAAAAATATTATTTAGGTAAACATTTCAAACGAAATGAGAGGGGAAAACAAGACACACCTTATCCTTACAACCATGGTATAAGCATAATGCATCTTCTGCTTATTTTCAAGGCTTTGCAAATCCGGTGATAATAACTAGTTTGTTAATACGCATGAAAATTATAACATACTTACATGACATATGACACTGTGTTAAAGTTTAACAACAATTAACTCAAAATGCAGAAGTAGTGTC